CAGGTAACTGAGAAAGTCTGGGGGAAGCAAGACTATCCCTTGGTTGATGAGGAGCATGTTAGAGATCAGTTAGATAAACTGGATATACACAAATCCATGGGGCCTGATGGGATGCACCCTCAGGTGCTGAGGGAGCTGGGGGAAGTCATTGCTGGGCCGCTCTCCATCATCTTCGAAAGGTCCTGGAGGACAGGTGAGGTGCCTGAGGACTGGAAGATAGCCAGTCCAGTCTTCAAAAAGGGCAAGAAGGATGACCCGGGAAACTACAGGCCAGTCAGCCTCACCATCCCTGGAAAGATGATGGAACAGCTTGTTCTGGGTGTCATCTCAAAGCACCTGGATGAAAAGAAGGTTATCAAAAGTAGTCAACACAGATTCACCAAAGGGAAGTCATGTCTGACTAATCTGATAGCCTTCTATGATGAAGTGACTAGATGGGTGGATGAGGGGAGGGCAGTGGATGTTGTCTACCTTGACTTTGGCAAGGCTTTCGACACCGTCTCCCACATCATCCTCGCAGGCAAACTTAAGAAGTGTGGGTTAGATGAATGGACAGTGGGGTGGATTGAGAACTGGCTAACAGATAGAGCTCAGAGGGTTGTGGTTAGTGGTGCAGAGTCTAGTTGGAGGTCAGTAACAAGTGGTGTCCTTCAGGGGTCAGTACTGGGCCCAGTCCCGTTCAATATATTCACTGATGATCTGGATGAAGGGATAGAGTGTACCATCAGCAAGTTTGCTGATGACACAAAACTGGGAGGGGTGGCTGACACGCCAGAAGGCTGTGCTGCCATACAGCGAGACCTGGACAGGCTGGAGAGTTGGGCAGAGAGAAACCTTATGAAGTTCAACAAGGGCAAGTGTAGGGTACTGCATCTGGGGAGGAATAACCCCATGCATTGGTACAGGCTGGGGGCTGACCTCCTGGAAAGCAGCTCTGTAGAACGGGACCTGGGAGTCCTGGTGGACAACAGGATGACCATGAGTCAGCACTGTGCCCTGGCAGCCAAAAAGGCAAATGGCATCCTTGGGTGCATCAAGAAGAGTGTGGCCACCATCTACTCTGCCCTGGTGAGGCCGCATCTGGAATACTGCGTCCAGTTCTGGGCTCCCCAGCTCAAGAAGGACAGGGATCTGCTGGAGAAGGTCCAGCAACGGGCTACAAAGATGATTAGGGGATTGGAACATCTCTCATATGAGAAAAGGCTGAGGTACTTGGGTGTCTTTAGTCTAGAGAAAAGAAGATTGAGGGGGGATTTATTAATACTTACAAATACTTAAAGGGAGGATTCCAGGGGGATGGGAGCAGTCTTTTTTCAGTGGTGCCCAGTGATAGGACAAGAAATAATGGGCACAAGCTTGAACATAGGAAGTTCCATCTTAACAGGAGGAGGAACTTCTTTACCTTGAGGGTAGTGGAGCACTGGAACAGGCTGCCCAGAGAGGTTGTGGAGTCTCCCACTCTGGAGACATTCAAAACCCGCCTGGATGCCGTCCTGTGCAACCTGTTGTAGGTGACCCTGCTCTGGCAGCGGCGGGGTGGACTAGATGATCTCCAGAGGTCCCTTCCAACCCTGACCATTCTGTGATTCATCCAGCAAGGTTCATGAAGGATCCTAACCATACCAACTGACACACACTGCAGAAGTTAATTCCAATATGTAATTTAAGCACATAGGAACTAATCACATCCAATTTAAGAACTGTTTTAATGGCCTCCTTTTTCGTGTATTACTAGGTTTTTGAACTATTTAATAATTTATAATGCTTTTTTCTACTTTATTGAATATGATCTTCAATTAAGGCTAGCAGAAGGACACACACATACCATGGAGAAAGTTTTTTCCTAAATAAGTTTTGAACCAGGTTAAAATCCAGAACACTGTATCATAGTTTAGGTTGGAAATTACCTTTAAGATCGAGTCCAACTGTTAACCTAGCACTGCGAAGTCCACCACTAAACCACATCCCTAAGTGCTGTGTCTACAAGTCTTTTAAATACCTCCAGGGATGGTGATTCCACCACTTCCCTTGGTGGCCTGTTCCAATGCTTGACAACCCTTTTAGCGAAGAAATTTTTCCCAATATCCAATCTAAACCTCCCCTAGTGCAACTTGAGGCCACATCCGCTTGTCCTGTCACTTGCTACTTGAGAGAAGAGACTGACACCCATCTCGCTACAACCTCCTTTCATGTAGTTGTAGAGTGCGATAAGGTCTCCCTTTTTCCTCCTATATAAATATACTTTTGCAATCAACACTGAATAATACATCATTTTAATTAGAGCAGTAAAGGTAATAGATGCAGGACTGAGCTTCTTAACTAAGAAAGGTAAAAGAGCCTTTTTTGGGGTATATACATAAAAATAATTCCAAGCAGCATCCATAGTCTGCTTGAAGTGAAATATTAGGGAGTTAATCTAGAAGTGAAGAATATACTGTAAGCCAGGAACTGTAAGTGATTTGGGGAAAAGAGGACAGAAAAAATATGACTGAATGTTCAGTTAGGAATTCATAATCAAACGGAAACTACAGCAAAATCTTTAATTAATTAGTCTGTAGCACATCTCAGTCCCAAAACTAATGCGCTTTCTCTCTCACATTGTCCTGCAAAAATTTTAAAGGAGCAACCATATCCTGTTCAAGACATATGCTCCTTACAAGCAGGCTCTAGTAAAACTGTCTGGAGGAGGGAGGGCAAAGCTACTTGTTAAAATTAATGACACCTTTCATTAGAAATTATGACGCTAAAAATAAATTTCTCCTCCAAACAATGTCTAGTCTTTAGCCTGTATAAGTTTCCAGTTCTAAGCAAAGAAAAGGAAGTCTGGAATCCCAAATTCTAATGTCATTAAGGACTAAACTTCTCAGCAAAATGATGGTTCCACCCATCTCCTTTAGAGAAGCTAACTTTTGAAACCTCATCATGTATCTAGACACAGCAGTCCACAGACTAGTGTCAAAATGAAGGATACTTTATTTTTCAAGACAGACATTTCTCTCTCCTCCTATTTCACTTAGGATTCAAAAATCAGTAAAGAAAGAAAAAGCATACAAACCAAATCCGAGTCTAAATGAAATGCTGTTGATAAATGCCCAGCATTGTATTGCTCTGCAGGACGACAATCCACTACAAAGAACCTTACTCCTTCCTGAAAGAGAAAGGTTTTTGCCTGTTAGAGAATTTTAAAATTTTGTAATTATTGATGGGGAAGTACATCAATTACATTTTAATACTAATTCCAATACTACAGGAACCCCTTGAAGGGGCTAGCAGCTATCAGGAAATCTTATTTCATTTGATTAATCTGAATTTCTACAGTTACCAGACCACCAACAGCATTCTAATAGTGATTTCCCAATAATACATCAGCTTGCACATGCGAAATGATCACCCAAGTGCACACAGTGTAATTATTTCATCCCTACTGAGAAGCAGCATAGTGGGTATGAGGACACACATCAGTAAGACATCAGAAGGGACAACTGAAGTCCCAATCCAACAGTCCATTACTACTCAGCACAGCACATAAGCTTTATTTCCCACTAACTTAAACAGATGCTTAACTTTACTTGGACTAGGGGAGGGGGGAAAAAAAAAAAAAAAAAAAAAAAAAAAAGGTATGCATGATGAAACCAGGGCCTGGAAACTGCTATAAAAAGCCAGTAGTCAACAAGAAACACTGTAATCTAGCTACACTATTATCCATATATTGGTCTTAAATACTCTTAAGTGAAGTCCCTGAATCAAAGTATGTCTGCAATAAACTACTACAGAGATAGCTTGAATCAATTTTTTTTTTGTTTAAACCTTTCATTGACAACAGACAGATATTTCATAATGGCATTCTTCTCAAAGGTACTGAGTAGCAGGGTTTAAATTTTCCTCTACAATAGCTACATATGGAAAGGAAATCAAATTAGTGAGATATTACTTTAAGCTCTCACTCCTCAGATTCAGATCTGCTGCATTAAGCTCCCCTGTGCTGTAGCTCTAGTTGCTACAGCACAAATGCATTGCAGTCAGCAGATCATTTCCAAGGAAGACAACTTCAAGGCAAGAATACTTTTTCCTGAAATAGCAAATATTCATCTGTGTTGTTAACACTTTAAAAATATTTGTGATATAAAGTAGGGATTCTTTTCCTTTTCCATAAAACTGGGGGTGGGGAGGAAAAGAGTAATTCAGTATACTGACTCCTTGTTGCTGATTTGCTTGAAGAATCTCTGACACCGAAACTGCCAGACAGAGAGCTTGGCTCAAGTCTGTGTCATCATCTTTGAGGCCCAGCAAGCTGCTGCCAAAAAGACTGTGGTTGTCCTAAAAAGGCAAGAAGAAAAAAACAAAAGAAGTTAACCAAAGCCATTGTCTTTAGAAGGCTTAAAGTAAAACTACATCCACCACGTCACAAAGACTAAACCTGATACACGTGTATCTTGTCCACATAGTCATCAAATTTTTGATCAACTGAAATTCTTTCTGAAAATCATGGCAAGGCCTGAACTTCCACAACACACACGCTTGTTCATCACTCTGACCATGCCAACACGATGAAATACCTCTGGGTTTTGCTTTTCAGTTCGGTTGGTTTGTTCATTATTTCCCAAATAACCTCACATACCTGTCTACGCACATCAGAGAAAGTACATACAAGCCAAAGGCAATGACTATCAATTACTTTTATTTCACAAATTCACTGAAGTCAGGTATCGTGAATAAGGAAGAACTGCAAGAATAGTGCAGGTGATGACAGCTTTATCTCTAGTGAATGACTTTTTCCTGGTTGCTGTTGCAAGTACAGCTAGAACTGATGTGCAGTCTACTACAACGCAATTGTGTCAGTATGGCATTTTTGCTTTATCAGCTCTTACAAGAACTTGGTTTGTAAAACAAGATCATCAGTCATGAAGTGAGAATATTGCAGGGAATATGCAAGGGATATTGCATATTCCGTGCAATATATATGGGATAAGCTCTCTGCAGGGAAGCTTCTCTCTGAACAAGGAGCTCCTGGACAAACTCAACTGAATCCGGGCCCTGCATCAAAAGAAGTGTGGCCAGCAGGTCGAGGGAAGTGATTCTGCCCCTCTACTCTGCTCTCGTGAGACCCCACCTGGAGTACTGTGTCCAGCTCTGGAGCCCTCAACATAACAAGGACATGGACCTCTTGGAGTGGGTCCAGAGGAGGGCCACAAAGATGATCAGAGGGCTGAAGCACCTTTCCTGTGAAGACAGGCTGAGAGGGTTGGGGTTGTTCAGCCTGGAGAAGAGAAGGCTCCGGGGAGACCTTATAGCAGCCTTCTGGTACTTAAAGGCAGCCTACAGGAAAGATGGGGAGGGACTCTTTATCAGGGAGTTGAGCAGTAGGGTGAGGGGTAATGGTTTTAAACTGAAAGAGCATAGATTTAGATTAGATATCAGGAAGAAATGCTTTACTCTGAGGGTGCTGAGACACTGGAACAGGTTGCCCAGAGAAGCTGTGGAGGCCCCATCCCTGGAGGTGTTCAAGGCCAGGTGGATCGGGCTTCGCAGGTCTAGTGGAAGGTATCCCTGTCTATGGCAGGGGGGTTGGAACTAGACAATCTGTAAGGTCCCTTCCAACCTAAACCATTCTATAATTCTATGACATGTTTCACTTAACCTTTTTATCTTTCACAGATCCTAACAGTAAATACCACCAGAGTAACAAGGTGAAAAAATTGTTTAAAAAATCATCACAATGAAACATTCAAAGTTACTGTTGCCAGGAGCTTAAACAGTCACCAAAAAGAAGAGAATTTCAAAATTACTTTGTTATTACCTTCCTGAAAGAAGCTGGAGTTTTGCTACAGTAATATTGTGCCAAAGAGAAGAGATCTTCTATATCCTCTAAATCGAGATTGGCTGGTGAAGTTTCTAAGAATTCTGAGATATACAAACAACATAAATGCATCATTATTTCAGACACAGAAAAGAAGCACTATACATCTTTTCACATCACAAAATAACTTATTTTTAATAAGGTCTAACACAAATGAGTTTATTGATTAAACATTAATGTTGATTCACTCTCCAGGTGGAAAGAGAAGATACAGGAAATACTCCTTATCAACAGGAAACCTAGGCTATTTGCTAGGAGTTCAAACCTTCTACACAAATTGTTTTTTACCACAGTCTTACCTCTGTATAGTCTTAGCTTTCAGTTGTAATACTAAGTCAGCTGACTTTTCTAAAGAGGGCTGACCAAGAGAATCCTCTAAAGCAGAGTACTTAATCAGTAGCCCTATTGTATGTCCAAGATGGTACAAGGGTGCAGTTCTGCAATATGTGGCAAAGATGCAAAATTCAAAACATCCTCATTTTTAACTACTAGTAGATAATTAATTATATTACATTATGTAATGTAAAAAAAAAAAAAAACACGAACAAACCATAAAAAGGCATGTGCACTAGGCTCACAAGAAATTTAGTGTAATTTCTATGAAAACAGGAGGGTAAGACAAGAACAATGAATCACAGAATCACAGAATCACAGAATCACAGAATCACAGAATCACAGAATCACAGAATCACAGAATCACAGAATCACAGAATCACAGAATCACAGAATCACAGAATCACAGAATCACAGAATCACAGAATCACAGAATCACAGAATCACAGAATCACAGAATCACAGAATCACAGAATCACAGAATCACAGAATCACAGAATCACAGAATCACAGAATCACAGAATCACAGAATCACAGAATCACAGAATCACAGAATCACAGAATCACAGAATCACAGAATCACAGAATCACAGAATCACAGAATCACAGAATCACAGAATCACAGAATCACAGAATCACAGAATCACAGAATCACAGAATCACAGAATCACAGAATCACAGAATCACAGAATCACAGAATCACAGAATCACAGAATCACAGAATCACAGAATCACAGAATCACAGAATCACAGAATCACAGAATCACAGAATCACAGAATCACAGAATCACAGAATCACAGAATCACAGAATCACAGAATCACAGAATCACAGAATCACAGAATCACAGAATCACAGAATCACAGAATCACAGAATCACAGAATCACAGAATCACAGAATCACAGAATCACAGAATCACAGAATCACAGAATCACAGAATCACAGAATCACAGAATCACAGAATCACAGAATCACAGAATCACAGAATCACAGAATCACAGAATCACAGAATCACAGAATCACAGAATCACAGAATCACAGAATCACAGAATCACAGAATCACAGAATCACAGAATCACAGAATCACAGAATCACAGAATCACAGAATCACAGAATCACAGAATCACAGAATCACAGAATCACAGAATCACAGAATCACAGAATCACAGAATCACAGAATCACAGAATCACAGAATCACAGAATCACAGAATCACAGAATCACAGAATCACAGAATCACAGAATCACAGAATCACAGAATCACAGAATCACAGAATCACAGAATCACAGAATCACAGAATCACAGAATCACAGAATCACAGAATCACAGAATCACAGAATCACAGAATCACAGAATCACAGAATCACAGAATCACAGAATCACAGAATCACAGAATCACAGAATCACAGAATCACAGAATCACAGAATCACAGAATCACAGAATCACAGAATCACAGAATCACAGAATCACAGAATCACAGAATCACAGAATCACAGAATCACAGAATCACAGAATCACAGAATCACAGAATCACAGAATCACAGAATCACAGAATCACAGAATCACAGAATCACAGAATCACAGAATCACAGAATCACAGAATCACAGAATCACAGAATCACAGAATCACAGAATCACAGAATCACAGAATCACAGAATCACAGAATCACAGAATCACAGAATCACAGAATCACAGAATCACAGAATCACAGAATCACAGAATCACAGAATCACAGAATCACAGAATCACAGAATCACAGAATCACAGAATCACAGAATCACAGAATCACAGAATCACAGAATCACAGAATCACAGAATCACAGAATCACAGAATCACAGAATCACAGAATCACAGAATCACAGAATCACAGAATCACAGAATCACAGAATCACAGAATCACAGAATCACAGAATCACAGAATCACAGAATCACAGAATCACAGAATCACAGAATCACAGAATCACAGAATCACAGAATCACAGAATCACAGAATCACAGAATCACAGAATCACAGAATCACAGAATCACAGAATCACAGAATCACAGAATCACAGAATCACAGAATCACCAGCCCCCAGCCTGTACTGGTGCATGGGGTTATTCCTCCCCAGATGCAGTACCCTACACTTACCCTTGTTGAACTTCATAAGGTTTCTCTCTGCCCAACTCTCCAGCCTGTCCAGGTCTCGCTGTATGGCGGCACAGCCTTCTGGCGTGTCAGCCACTCCTCCCAGTTTTGTGTCATCAGCAAACTTGCTGATGGTACACTCTATCCCTTCATCCAGATCATCAATGAATATGTTGAACAGGACTGGGCCCAGTACTGACCCCTGAGGGACACCACTTGTTACTGACCTCCAACTAGACTCTGCACCACTAACCACAACTGTAAGCCAGTTCTCAATCCACCTCACTGTCCATTCATCTAAGCCACACTTCCTAAGCTTGCCTGTGAGGATGATTTGGGAGACAGTGTCGAAAGCCTTGCCAAAGTCAAGGTAGACAACATCCACTGCCCTCCCCTCATCCACCCATCTAGTCACTTCGTCATAGACTCACATTAGGCTCACATTAAGTGCATACGAAGATAATACTTTGGAAAATGCAACAAGTGCAGTAGATTTAAAGAAGGATTTGAAAGTTGCTGCTTTGGGCTTAGAAATATAGTGATTGTTTCAAGTACTCCAAACTGAAGTATAAAACTAGGTGCGGGAGTGCCAAAAAGTAAACACAAAAAACCAATGTTAAGGACAGAGAAAATGTGATGCAACAAAAGAATAATAAGAAAGGAATTATTGGGTGAGGGGATTAATTAATGAGAAAAAATCACAGGGAAATAACTAAATAATTCAGTTATTTAGTATTTAAACATAATAACCAATGGAGATTATACTATAAGGTAAATATTTCACTAGCAGCTATATAAGAGAAGTACTTACTTATCATTTCTTCTTTATCTGATTCTTGTGCTAAGATAACGTCTCTGAAAACAGTAAAGTCACAGGCATAGATGAAGTCAGTAAAACCAAAATGAAACAACAGTGGATTAAAACTGTGTCAGCAAGGAATGCCACAAAGAATTAACTATACACTTACTTTGCATTTACCAGGATGATTAACATTAAGAAATAAATAAAGAATGGATCTGCTTGTTGTAGATATCCATCCCATATTGCCTGAGTGACTTGAGCTGAACAGTAATATGAGAAGAGGCTTCCAAGCTAAAAATTTGGAAAATAATATGAGAAAAGGCAATAACCAGGAATGATCTTATCAGAATAAGATTTTTAACAGAAACACAAGATATCTAAAAGAAAATGAAAATAACAAAGTGATGTTAAAACATACATTTGCACCACATATTGAAGGATGGTTCTACTCTCAGAAACAATTTTTATGCAAACAGTGCAGTAATGCTACAGATTATCTGTGAATGAATATTCTTAGTGTAAAGGCAAACTCAGCTGTACATTGTCAGCCTTGTAAATTCAACCAGAGATAACATGAGACTGAAATCCTGTTTAGGTCACAGCCACTGCTAAATACCAGTTATACCAACAAGACAATAGTAAGAGAATATACTCACTCAACTAGCTTAGCAAATAGGACTTTGAAAGAATCCTGTAAACAACATTCTTTTTATTTTTCACAGTAGACCCAAGCTAATTGAACATGGTTGCACATTAGTTTGACAACGTCACTTACTTAACATCACATTATGATGCTTTATGACTGAGTAATTAAACATTTGCAAGCAACAGAAAGTTTTCATTCCTGTTTAACAAACTGCCTGTTCCCATTTAAAGATACATCCCCTCTGATATGCAAAGTTCAGAGTGGATAAAAGAAAAAGCAGGAACTTCTTTTCATATATGCCAGATAGTATTTGCAATAGCACCTAACTCAAATGCATACTGGGTGGCTTCACTGGTGTCTTACTGAACTTGCTGATGCATATAAACTCTGTATCAACAGAGCTACAGCTTTCAAAAGCTCAGTATCTGTTTTTAAACACTATTATGGAATATTTCAACACTTCCTAGTATGTTTTTATAACAAAAGGTAAGAAGATCTATCCAATTCTGAGTCAAATGTAACTGAAGACAAAATGTCCCTAAACAATGAGGCAATGACAGATCTCTGATTGTTGCTTATGTATTTCGACACATTAGAAATACCGCCATATAGACAAAGTTTTTTGACAGATGAAACAAAGAATTCTAATGTAATCTCATAATATAAAATGAGGTTTAAGATTTTTTTCTAAGATTGTACACCAGAAAGCATGATATTAAGACTGACAGCTACACTAGCTCATTTCCCTACCTCCTTTCAAAGAGAAGATTTTTTTCTAACGAATCACTAAACTTTTAATAAACAACTTCAAAGTAGTTTGTGTTTACTAAGGAAAATTATATATATTTAAAAAGGTAGATTCAGTAGTAAAAAAAGACCCAATTCCTCTTTTGAAGGCTTATGACTGGCAAAAGGCAGATTTTAAGAATATGAAAATTATTCTTGGACATATTTTAACATTAAAATTGGTAGCAGCTTAAAAAGAATCATCTTCAAAAAAAATCACAAATACAGATCTTGCAGTTTAATAATTCATTTCAGTCTATTTAACTGGAAGTAATGGAGTTACAAAAAATTTTACAAAGCCAATGAATATGAAAGAAGAGCCTAGAAGAGTTCATTGGTCATATAAAGTCTTACTAATCTACAGACTTACCCTCTGCAAGCACTGTATCATGATTTTGTATTGCATATACTAAGTAGCACTGAAACACTAGAATTTTGCTGCTTTATGTTTTAGTACTGCTACACAAACTTTATTAAAAAAATGATTGAGGTAAGCGTCTCTATAACTACCCCCACTTCTACAGAGTTTTGAAATTAAGTTGAGGTGGAAATGACCAATTCTTGAAGAGCTGTAAAATATTGTGCCTAAATTTTAAAAGGCATAGCACTGTATGAGGCAGTCAAATATATCTATTAGCATGGAGATTTTTAAAACAATTAGTAATTTGACTTTAAAATTAAATTGACCCATTAGGCTGATGTCTATCCACATCTACAACCATACAGCTACCCACTACAAAAACTAACATCACGGTTTCTTACTTTTTGAATATGTCAGTTGTTACCATTCTTAGTTATTCCAAGTAGTTCCTAACATCAGTGGCTCAATTAAAATCCAGTCCAATAAAAATGTGATGTTAACAAGATCTTATGATAAACAACCAAAGACAAAAAGTCCACACTATATTAAAACATGCAATTTATTTCAATATATGCAGTTCTAATCTCTGGTACTACTCTTCCATAAACTGGCAACATGTACTTAAATTTTAACAAAAATTTATTTTTCATTATGTTTCCCTACTTTCACTTTATTACCCAGTTGAGTGCATATGAGTCTGGAGTCATCTTCTTAGTATCAAGAAAGGAACAGAGTTCAGGCTCATGGTACTGAAGAAGCAGTCTAAATAGATGAAATGGTCTTCCCTTCATAAAACAATCCCTAAAAAGTAGCAGTGAAAATAATCGTAAATCCCGTGTTATATTCCAATTGTCAGACTTACAGTAGCAATTCTTCATTAGTTGTGACTATGTAATTTCCTATATTGTTCTTTTAATTCACAGGGACCGATCATGAAGTTGAAACCAAAAACAATAATAAAAAAAAAGGATTAGCTAAACATATATAAATTGTCCTGGAAACTAACCTACACTTTACTTCAGGACAGGGTGGTTTGTTATTGTTGTTGGGTTTTTTGGGGAGATTTTGTTTTGTTGTTTGTTGTTGTTTGGTTGTTTTTTTTTAAACAAAAAAAGGAAACTATTTTCTACCCTCTAGTAAAGGTAACATTGATGTAATGTTTCCTCATGTGGTCCCTGGGATGAGACACATTTCCATTATCCACTCGCAGCTTTTTCAGTAGTTCACTACTTTACAAGCTCTCACACACATCATTGTCGACTCAATTGCATATCTGAGATAGTGTTTTCTTCTACTTACAGCCCAAACAAAGAATACTAATGACCTAGGACTTCCATATTAACTGTTTGTTAATTTTGTACAGTCTAGAAAATTTGCCATTCTAGGGGAAAGGCAGGAGGAAAAGAAACATAGGTATCCACCAGACACTTTATACCTAAAGCTTTGAGAGTACCAGTGTTTCTGAAAAAGGCAGGAAAACCTAAAATCTCCCTCATCTAAAATAATCTATTATGTTTTTCTTTTCCCCCCCTCATTCTTCCTTTGGCTTGCTAGAGATGCTCTTTAAAAAAAAAAAAAAAAATCTAAGATACAATATGGTCCAACTGATTATGCTGTACATTTCCCTCACCTGTTGTCAATATTTTGTTAGAATAAATTCCCAATACATTTTTCATAGTTGCAAAATGATAGTTGCAAAACATGAGAAAATGTTAATAAAATGGTATGATTTAAAAAAAAAAAGGCAAAAAGTTAAAAATGAAACCTTTATCAAACAGTAATGATGGTCCAGCAGTCAAAAGTCAAATCGAGACCAAATCAACCTGAGCAGAGATTGGCAAGTCTACTATAGACTGCCTTTGTATGCCTTTCATTCTCCCATTAAGAGGGGGAAAAAAAAAAAAAAAAGAGAGAGGAAACAGTCTACATCTCGTTGAAACACCACCTAGGTTCTTACAGAGAAACTCAAATAGTAGACACTCTGAAAGCTTTCTATAGCTGAAAGTACATGAGTTATGTGACCATAATGCCACCGTCCCCAAACAGTTCACAGAGCCCAACAGTATTTTACATCAGAAACAGACACAAGCTGAGTCAAGTGACAGGACCAATAAATGTTTCCTGTCACAACACCAAATGTGCACTTTTCATAATGATTCTATGATGCAATATTATGGGCACACATCCAGCAGCTGGGCCAGAACCTCCTCTCCAGGGAATCAGACTAAGATCTTTAATTACAGACTATCCATATATTATTTCACAAGGTCTTAATCAGAAGACCTTGTAGTCTCACTGGAGTGTTACAGTGCTACTCCAACATAAATAAAAAATTGTTTTGGTGAGAGCATCCATACAATGGAATGAAGATCTCCAATTTCATACTTTTTATTAAAAAAAGAAAATCTAACAACTTCAAAAAAATCGTTTCAGTCTCAACTCAGTAGAACACAGGGAAAACATCAACTATGTCTTCTCAAGAAATTTTGAGACTTAATTAGAGCTTATGAAGTATATTGACAGGAATAGAAACATTTTAGATATAAAAAATGCTAGGAAAGGAAAGAAAAAATGCTTTCACAGAACATATGTGAATTAGATAATTTCTAAACAATATATTTTTTTTTTTAAATTGCATGAAATGACAGTAGTTCTTGAAATGGCATATCAGTCACATGCTAACTCTTTACATCTTAAACCAACTCAATCACCTCCCGGACTTCAAACCAACAGGTACTGAAAGATGGTTTCATTTATTATCATATGAAGGAAATCGACAACTTTCCTACAAAGAGTACTACTCTAGTCGAAACAAACATGCACATCCTTTCAAGAAAATACTTTTAATGCCAACAAAAATAGTACACAGGCAAAAGAAAGAGTTTTACCTTGGAATGAACTTATTCATGATAGCGTAAAAGCAGTTGTACAAATCACTGCGTGGCAAACAAAGGTGCACCAGAGGTTTGAGTAGATGTATCCAGCCAAGGCAAGAACTGTATTTAACATTGCGTGATTTACAATAAAAAGTAATAACAGACTCAATATCCACAAGTAATACTGACTTCTCCTCTTCTGGCACTGACAACTGGTCTGAAATAGGCACAGAAATCCCCATGTTTAGGGTGTTTCAAAGAAATTGAATGAGATTCTTTGATTAAACACTTACAGAAAGGCATCCAAAAAGGCATCAAAATACAAGTGATTTTATAACCACAGTAGGATAAGGCATTTAAATATCATTTAAATATTACAACAACAGGATTAAAGAAGTTTGGGGTTTACAGGATCTATATGAAACAAAGAGTTAGATTGTTTTAATACACAGAGTACCCCTCTTTTCCTATTTGATGTGCTCAGCACATAACTTATGCTCAACTCTACAACAAATTCATTTGAATTTCAACACAGATCAATGCACAATGCATACCTCCAATTTTTTCAAAAGCCCACTGACATGCAAATTTATGAAAATCAGTAGTTTGAAATCAACTAAGCTTACAGACTTAAATTTTAGTATTAACGTATAAATCATATTTTTAATCTCTACTTCAAAGTAATTTTCCTAACAATAGCTTACATTTGGGGTTGTTAGGGTGACTATAAAGAGAAATTATTTGATTACTTAGAACTACACCTGGCTTTTAAATTCAGGTTGGTACTGTTGCTAATCAGAAGATACACTAACCATGAACATATAACCTTTTCTATAACTTATACTGTTTCAAATTCTTACAAATGTTGTAAGGTACTGAAAAGTAAAAATGTTCCCTATGTAATGACAGACTAATTCTGAATCCATAATTCGTATTGTTGCATTTGGATGAAAATTGGCACAAAAATTTGGTACAAAACCAGTTCTGTAATTAAGGCAACAAGCTAAACACTTCTCAAATACTGTCATTATTGAGTCTGATACACAAAGCTTAGGTTTTCATTAGTTCCAAAGCATCTTTCTGCATAGACTCTAACTTAAAAGGCTGACAACACTTCAGAAAAAATACTGGCATCCACCTCACTTAGGACAATGAATCTAAGACATACTGAAATATGTTAACACCATACCCCAAATTATGACTTCCTCCATGTGATGAAATAACTACTTAGCTTACTTACAGTTAATTATACTGGTATTTACTATACAGATTGTAGCAAAACCAGACTTTTGTGTAAGTTCATACAATTTTCAGTTTAATATTAAGCACCTCTTTAGATTTTTTTTATGAAAAGTCTAATATTAAACTTATGACTTATATATTTCAGAAATAAATTTGTTTTAATCCACTTAGATTATGTCAATTTTACTATAGCTAAACTGAGAGTAAAAGAAAGAATAACCATGTTATGTCCCAGGTGAGGTTGAGAAATGCCTACACTCTATGTTAATGCAGTGGCATTAAATTTCTAGTGAATGCTTTCTGTCATCAATTACACGAAACCCATGAGTCTCATTATTATTGTTAATTAAAGCTTTTATTACTGAAGTCTTTAATTCTTTCCCATCAAAGCCAGTCAATATTTGGCTCTTCCTTTCCTCTATCTCTCAGGAAAATAACATAATATGTAAAACTCACATGTTATCTGAAGATTTACTTTAAATTTGAAGACTACTTGCTTTGCTAAAACATTGAAATACAGAGATTCAATCCAATCCAAAATTGAAATCTCTATCTAACCTTCATTCTGAACTAACTTCACATTTATTATGTTAACCAATTTAATATTGGTATATATTACAAAATATTTGCAATAAAGACAAAAGGAGAACTAGCAGACATTAAAGTGCTTAATTTTGTATGTTATAAATACTAATTGGGAGGTTTTGCTATCTTCCAGAGAAGACACTTTTTAATTAAACAACACAGTGGAATTTTTCTCCCCCCATTTTCTTTACAGAACAGAGAGCGGGAAAATAAGCCCTACTAGATTCTAGAGCTAGAAAATGTAGAACTGAATTTTTAAAACAGTAGATACACGTGTATGCATGCACACATGCATGCAATAACTCCATTCTCTGTCTTAACTTTCAATTGTGCAAGAATAAATTAAAGCACGACAGGTAATAAAATAGAAGACACTCTTATTGATGCCATAAGAGTATCCTAATTTATGAGTCAGCATTGACTCCATCACCTGATCACTAACGCTGTTGCATGGTGTCAGGGATTTGGCCATTTTTACTATGAGTTGACAACCAGATCTTGTGGCAGCTCCTTACAGACATACCAGAATATTATTTCCAATGTCCTGGCAGCATCTTGCTTTCACAAACACAGCTTTTCATTTTTGCTGAAAACACTATTAAAAAAATACCTTTCAAAAATAGTCTTTAAAGTCGAAAATGTTTAATATATTTCTTCCCTTAGAGGTTATATGCATTTTGGTGCTACACCAGCTTTTCAGATTAAGTACCAGTCACTACACAATTAAAAACTTGAATGACACTATAGAAAGAGTGCCTGGTTTAAAAGATGGAGATTGGAAAAAACAAACCCTAAACTTTTTTCAGCTCCTGGAGCTTTCTTCCCATTTGGCTCTGACCATGCAAGCTATCATTTAAAAGCTAATACTTTAAACTTCTGTGACATTACCCATCTCAGAGTCAGAGTATAGGTAAGATACTACTGCTTTCTTACAATTTTTACAATTCTTACAATTCTTTTTCTAATTTTCTCTGCCTTCTCATCTTCCTCCAAAATGTAACCATCATTCAGGTTATTGAATTCAAATAACAAAGCCCTAAAACAATTGAGAGTACAGAAGTTTTCACATAGGTGATCTAAACATAATTGAACTTACCAATTAGCTCTTGGCAATCCTTATGAATTACACTCTGTTCTGGCAGGTCTAAAGAGCCATCCCAGGATGCTAGGCTGTCCCCCTTTCCTACAACATTAAGTGCAATCTGAAAACAAAAATAGAAAACCCTTTAAACATTTTAGTATCCTTTTGTAGTTACCAAATTATTGAACTCAATGAAGAGGAAAATCCTAAAATACTAAAATTCCCGTGCTACATCTCTTCTGTACAGATGCCCAGTAATCGAATCATCTACCTCAAATCAAACACAATTTCAAGTATTTCCTGCTTCTTTATTTAAGCTCGTATTTACCTTCCAGACTTTGGCCCTCAGATCAGCCGGCAGTTGCCTTCCTTGAATGATGTTTCTCACAGTTTCAAGATCACAGCCTCCTTCTTCTAGAGCATCTGCGAGCTCTTTTTCCCTATAATAATGACACATAATGTGTTTATTAAAAATGAATTATACAAAATTATTCAATGTTTACCTGCTAAACAGATGTAGACTGGAGACTACTATCAGGCAAAACCCACACATACATAAAGATATATTATAAGACAATTTGCCAGTTACTGAAAATAAACATTTGCAAAATGTTAATTATTCCTTTGTTTTTAAGGCTGCTTGTTCAACTTCTAATTCCATTCAATTTATATATGAGAAAAAATACGCTCAGAGCATTTTTTGTTTGCTTTCATGAAGTGGCAATGTTGCAAAATGTATCATAAAAATGCAAATTTAGTTGTTGTTTACAAGTTAGAGATACACGGCAAATTTTCACCCACACACAATGCATTCAAAGCCAACACTACACCTAAATTAAGTGGCAGAGTTATTTTAAATAAAATACTACGTGACCTAGAAAACAGAAAACTTATTTCAAAGGTTTAGAAGAGTCAGCTTTTAACCCCATCTTTCCCTGAAATGGGAAAGGACCTTTTAGTCAAACTCAGGTTTATTTAACTATGAGGTTCTAGTACAGGAAGCGTAGACGTGTGCACCAAACTGAATTAAAATATACGAAAATGTTAATAATAGTGTAGAATGTGGCAAAATACACAAATTCACAAGACAGTCAAACAGCAATGATACTTTAAGTTGCCACAGTAAGACAACAAAAGTTCAAAAGCATTATAAGAAGATGCACATTCAGAAATTATTACTTTACAATCTCTCTGATAACTTCTGCTTACTGTTTCAACAGTTCCATGCCATCAACAATGAGAGAATCACACCTGATGATTTCAGGGATTTCAATATTATGTAGCATAGTAGTGGCAAAACACCAGGTTCACTAGAAAAATAGCAATGGCAGTGAAACATAGGTCCTGTAGGCAAAACTTCTCCCTTACTTTATCCTCTTAACTGTTCTCTACTAACTCTGACATATGCGTTAAGAACGGCTTTGCTTCATATACCTGAGGAGTTAAACATACATCCAGCAGGTTTATAGCCACAGCAAAACATAGAATGCGATTTTTCATTCAGGACAGATGAATAATTCAAGTATGAAGATGCATTCCTTGTAAACAACACATCTATTTATACATGTGTAATAACAGATGTTAAAGTGTTATCGGTACAATATTCAATTAATACATGTTACATACTATGAATTCAATTCAAAATACCCATGGAAAAAGAATGTCAGTTGTTGAGCTCTCTCTGTTTCTTCAATTTGCATATATCCACCACTAACTCCTCAATATAAAAGTTCAAGTTTGGTCTTCTGAAAGCTTAGCGCACACATTTCTGTTTTTCTAAATATCGCCCTTTTTGATAAACAGTTTAACAATCTGTAAGAATGTATGCATATACTTAACAGTAAGCAACGAGCCAGCCTTAAGACTTCTCAAAGTATTCTCAAGTTTGCAGAGTAAACATTTTCCTCGCATTGTATCAGCCAGGTTCTTTGACAGTACTTTTTGGTAGCACTTTAATTCATATTTCAAATATTTACTGGGGCACAACTGACAGTAATTTTGCAAATTTGGATAACAAAGTACAGCTTACAGAAACTGACTTGCATTGTTTTCTTATATTTTTAGTATTAAAAAAAAAAAAATCCCAAAGTCCACTTATTATAGCACTGCAGCCTGCATGGGTGAATATCCCTTTCCTGAGACAGAAATGGAGATAGAAAAAATACACAAGCACAACTGCACATTCGTCACCTATCGTGTTGTCCGACTGCATATATAACAATCAATGTGGGAGAAATTAAATCACCAAATCAGTTCAGCCAGAATAAAAGGCAAGTATTTCTAGGACATTTACACAAAGAGACCAAGCACTTAGCAGAACTGCATGAACTCTGGGATGACCTAACTTCAACAGAAGCCAACATCAAACATCAGCTGAAGAGAGCTAGATGGTCTTAGATTGTAGGTTTCTGTGCACACTATGTACGACACAGACTGGAGAGCAACAGCCAGGCCTTGAAGCACACAGCTTCAAGCACGCAAAATACAGTTGCTAATAACAGTTGCTACAAATGCTGTCCAAGTATAACAGGCATGTGGAAAAGAATGCAACAGGTGCATGCATGTCGGAAAGGTCTTAAAATTGCAATACTTCAATTTGGTTTCCATGTCCTCCAAAGAAAATTATTTGGAAAAAAAAAAAGGTAATTTAATATATGTGAAACAAAACTTAAAAAATACGCCTACACAGATGACAAAAACACGCTTGGCAAAGAATGTTTCCACAGACTCATGAGTACAAATTCTACCAGTTACTTGTACCTAATATTCACAGCTTAAAAAGTTGTGCGCGGGGTAACATCAATACCAACTTCAACATGTTATCTGCAAATGTGTGCTTCCCTCTGTTTGTTTGATAATATATTACTATTTGCAAAATCTTCTTCCTAAATACTGTCATCTGCACTTTGTACACTGTGAAGATGACAGGCAAATGCTAGTTTTACTACTTCACTTTAAAAAGCAAGAATCTGATATGCCCATCTCCCACATGGAGAGATGTGATGCATTACCAAATTGAGTTAAATGAAATAACAGCAGGGGGGAAAACTGTGTTATTCTGTTTATGATTTAATTAATTATTCTTTTCCTCCATCGACTCCCGAGACTGTTCACAGGCTAGAAGTGAGGATGCCTCAAAGATTAAGAAGAATTATTTTCTAATACATATTCTATTCAAGCTAACTTGCAAAGTACCATGAAAGAGATTTTGATACTTTAACACATGTCCACTGGCTGTGTTTTACCTTATTTCAGTCTGTGCCATAAATGTTCCAGCAAACCGCTAGCAATCTGGATCCTTGCCTTTCATTAATGAACATCAGTTAGGAAGTTTTCTGTTCATATGGACAACTATTTCACTTTAGAAAGAATGCAGCACTTCCCTTTACAGGCAAACTCCTCCAGACCCGGACATCCTTCTTTCTGCTCTAGCATGGCTCCACTGCCTAATTCTGGGCGCTGTTCTAAATTTTGGGTAGATGTGTATACCAGCCTATACCTGAGCTGTGGCCTCAAAGGTTAATTCCTACAAGATATACTGTTCTAAATGCCATAATGCACAATATTGCTACTAATGTATTTGGAGTAAATTTCCATACTTACAGAAAGCTCTCTGAAATTCATGCCAGTCGAGTAACATATTATAATCAATAGATAACTACCTTTGCACATATTCAACATGATTTTTTTTTTTAAGCCAAAACAATTATGATGTGAGAGTGAGCTGGAGGCAATAATAATTAAAAAAGATCAACTGTTGGGACTTCAGCTTCGCTTTTTATTTTAAGTGCTATTTATTTTATTTATATATGACTGAGGTAGTTGGTAATAATCACTTATAAATACTAATGAAGAGACTAAGAAATTGTGGGGACGTGAACAGTAGGGAAAAGATAGTAGGAAGTGTTTTGATAAACTACAAATACATAGGAAAAGATGTATTGTATTAAGAAAACTATAATCAGTAGATTACAATGCCTGGAATGTATCTGCTAAAGTCATTATGTTTGCTCATTTGTTATAAGGAAAGACAGATCCCTTTGAACTGCTTCTTCCAAGTCAAAGTGCATTTTTGGAAAAAAATGCTTCAAAAGTTTAAGCTTTAATTTGTGACGGGCACACTTCTAATACTAATTTATCATTTCCAAAGCCCAACAGGTATCTTCTACATGTACCAAATTCATTATCTAAAATGCACTTAACAGTCCAAAACAAGATGATCGCTCTTTTCCCTTATACACTGAATCTACTAGTCCACTCCTGCCTGTTAAAGACCACTCAGTGGCGTAAAAGAGGGTTAAAACACATACTTCCACCTAGATTACACCACTTCCCAAACTGCTTCCTCTATTCTGACCACTTATTTGATATTGGCATAACACTTGAAAAGCTTCTTTGATTTTCTCCCACACTTCTCAAGTGACACGCTCATCGCAGCTGCTCATGCTATGTTCTAGTAGGCCACCATCACTTTCAGTATAAGAAGGAGTATTTCTTAAACATCTTCACACATCATTCCTGTTCTCCCTAAATCAGAAGCAAGGCTGCTACCAGCTGAACCAAGAGTATCATCAGCTTTAGTTTCTACAAAGTCATTGTTTCCTAAGACGTCAAACACCTCCAGTCTGCAAGTTTTCATGCATTTCTAATAACTGTTGCATGCAAAGACAAACATATACATCACAATGCTGCCATCACAATTATGAGGGCCACCTGTACATATCCATGTTAGTACCAGATTGGACTAATTTATTCTAATATGTTTTTATTAATTTTGTTACTAAGAAGGTAGAACTAAACTGCATTTTAAGCAACGTACTTTACTTGAAAAAGCTCACAATAGCATGCAGCTTTATAACATGCAGTAATGGCATACAAGCTTTACTTACAAGAAAAATGGGCAAGTGAATAGTGCTGATGAACATTTCCGAAGTTGATGGCTACTATCAATTTATTTTCATAGTCATCATTCTACCTTCCCACAGCAAAGAACGTAGCTTCCCACCACAGAAAGGTATCTATATAAAAGATTCTCCCTGCCCCCCCCAGTCCCCCCAATACGCTTTTATATAATCTAGTTACTCTGGTTACTACTTTTAATTTAGGATTCTCCTGACTACCAGAAAAAAGCATCAACAAGAGCTATTAAACCAAAAGCAATGAGGAGTGTTTGTTCTCCACTGAAAACAAACAAACAAAAATAAATCCCTCCCATTCACTTCAAAGTATCCACTGTATTCATAACACTATTGAATATTCTATTTTTCCAATGGAATTTTTGAGAAAAACATTAATTCCCTGGCATTTTTACCTCTAATTTTTCGTCAAGTGTGTTAATTTCACATTTAACAGCAAAGGATTTTTTTGTTCTTATAGTTTCAGAATAAATATCATGGCTCCAAGCACTAATAAGCCAGACACTGAGCACAGAAAAAAACCCAAAAAATGTACCAGTAT